AGTGCCGTTATTTTTGGTGCGCACGTGATTTACTGGTACGAAGATCCTTGAAAACTTCTTTTCAACCCCACTCGTGAACCCCCAACATAAACCAGATTTGATTTTCTAGGAATCGTGTTACTTCCACTTCGAATAAAATGGTCAATGTGATTGCCACTTTCAAGTAGTCGTTTCTTGTAGTGTAACAGAGATATTCCTCTTTTTAACATACGCTAGCAGTGTCAGAAAAGGAAACCAACGACACTCAGGTGCCAATTATTAAAAGTCTATATACAGCCAACAATACATACTTACACTCCAAACAAACATACACAACCCTAACGATTTTTTCAATAATCAAAATTTATGTCCGCGTTCCACAAATATTGTCGATACACACAGAAGCCTTGGGTGGCCGTGCTAATGAAAGAGTAACAACGTGAAGTTTGTGAGATTACAAATACCGTTCATATGTGTAGAAGTCCGCCATGTCAATATCTCACAGAAATGTCACGTTTATGAATTTCCAAATACTCTTAATGCGTAAAGAAGTCTTAGGTGACCGTCTTTCACAAATTTGAACGTTTGCAAGACTGCAAATTAAACAGCTTTGACCATCATGACACCACATATAATGTATGAAACTACTACTGTTTTATTGCAACAACGAGCTGCATGTTTTAGTAATCATCAGTTTTTTTTTTTTTTTGCTTGTTGTTAAGCATAAAGGTACACAATAGGCTATCTGTGCTGTGCCCATCACGAGTACCGAAATCCAATTTTTAGCGTTATAAGCCCTCAGGTTTAACGTCGAGCCAACTGGAAGGAGACATGTTTTGTTGAAACAACCAGCTACATGTTTTTGTAATTTCCAATGTTATTATATTGAGAAACAGTTATACAGTTTAGTAATTTCAAATGTTTTATTGAAGCAACCAGCTAAGTTTTAGTGATTTCCACTATTTTATAAAAAAAAGCAGTAAGAGCCATACAAAATATTCTAGCAATAACAGTAGCACCTAAACTATATATATATATATATAAAACGTATTCAAGCATAAAGTCGTCAAGAGAAATTATAAATGACCGCACGTTGCTGAATAAAGCACTAACGAATTCTTCCCCTAAGAATACTTCAACTTTCCTCAGTAAATTACATTACATTAAAAAAAAAAAACACCAAAACTACACGTTTTATTAAAATACCACGACGCATTCCAGCATATTCCAGTTTTATAAGCAATCGGCGCTACAAGTTTTACTAATTTCCAATTAAATTTGAAATAACGTGCTACACGTTTTAGTAATCTCAATTGCTTTTCTAAAACAACCATCGTTACACGTTTTAGTATGTGTCACCACTTTATTGAAAAAAAAAAAAAAGCTACACGTTTTAGTAATTTCCACTGTTTAATTGAAACAATCAGCTTCATAGTTGAGTAACCTCAACCGATATATTGAAAAATGTAAATTTCAGTTATATTAACAACCGGCGCTACATGTTTTAGTAATTTTCCCTGCTTTTTGTCACAAGCTCCTACATGTTAATTTTCACGCTTTTATTGAAATAACATGGTTAGCACAGGTTAATGGGGAAAAAATCCCAGCCCTTTCCAAGATCAAGCTATCATTTTAAAGAACTTAATTTACTGATTTGAACAGCACGTGAACTCCAACATAACTAAATAGCTAATGTTTTATTGTATTTCATAAAAAATGCAATAACAGCTGTACAAAACGTTCTAGCAATAATAGTAGCATCTCAACTATCAAAAAACACTTATTCAAGCACAAAAAAGTCGTTAAAAGAAAGTAAATATGAACATACGTTACTGAACAAAGTACTAACGAATTCTTCGTCATTTAAAATTCTTTTAGTAAATTCAACTTTTCCCAACTTCATTTTAATAACGAATGATAGTCCTGCGTCTGTCTCCCAAATACTCTGCTTTTGCAAGAGCTAAAAACTCTAGAGTAACATCGAAACCAAGTAATATTTATTGAATATTTTATTTCAACTAGTCGGCAAGACAAATCATCTGGCATCTGATTTATATATGCAGTAAAATAATGTAAAAATGGGATTTAAAAATACTACACTGTATATATAAATAGAGTCTCTGAGCATTTTCTTTGGCCTCTCATTGTTCAGTCGAACTGACGAGTTCTAGTATAGAATGAAAAACTTCTTTGACAATGACTTGTGGGAGACAAAAGAGAACTACGATTCTATTTCTACACGCCACTGATTTTGAATTTAAAATGAACAAACTTAGAGGAATGTGGTAAAAAAACATATGCAGTTTACACGATTTTCATCATAAATTTAAGACCTATTGGTTGGTACATGTTTGGCTGCTAAACATATATTATGACAAATCGCCACGCCAACAAAGCAAATATTCACACTCATACTGTTACTGAGACTATTCTCATATTGTTGTTCTGTTCCAAATTTAATCTCTAAGCATTTACATATGCACATAGACACGTCACTCTTCTAGAATGTTAGCATTCCATAAACAACACTATGAGTCTTAGTTGTTTATAGATACTGATTTGTTATGATACTAACATAAACAAAAATTACTTTTTAAACAACACTTTTTGCACTATGTTAGAGGCTAGACATCATGTCTTCTGAGTTTGGAAAAATATTATTTTTATAAAAATCATGTCAATTTGGATAAAAAAAGATTTTTAAATAAGGTAGACTTTTCCTGGTCAAAAGTATCTACTTAAGTGTGTTGCAGAGTTCACTAACAGATATACAGATGTGGAGTACACTTATATTAAAATGATTTTGGAACCTCACTACATTGTACAAGTCCATGTCACCACATTAGGTCATGCTCTATCTGATGACCATAAATCTTGATAGTAGTCCTGCAGCATATTTTCTATTGAAAAAACTCCATCATTAGGCTGTCATGTTCAAAGCACACCACTCCTTTATGCAGGCTTTCCTTTATACAACATATGAGCACAATGGTTTCCCTATGCTAAGTTCCAAAGTCCAATTACACACACACACACAAAATACCTGCTGAATCTAGCAACTTGACCAGAATATCCTTGTGTGGAATAGCATAAATACTTGTTTCATTCTCAAACTGCTTGAAGTAGCGATGGTTGAATGGATATCTTATTGAAGCAACTTGTGTACATGTGACTTGTGCTACTTTATCAGATGGAAATACATTTTAATTATATTATGCACTGTTCCGTGGAATATGTGGATAACTTTTGCCACTGATCTATATACTTGTAGATTCTCTCTCATTACAAAACACCACACTTTGCTTACCATGGCTGGGATATGACTTGTTGCAGTTCTCTTACTGGATGGTCATGGTACACCAAATTGAGCCATATTCTTTCTTTTTTTTTCCAATGTCATTAAGTGCATGTAGTATCCCCATCTAGGAAATTCTAAATCACTAATTTCAACACATCTTTATGAATTGGGTGTATGAATATTTTGTGTGTCAGAAAGTGTTATTACACACACTACTAAAAAGCAGTGATTTTTTTAGTGACATCACAATACCCATGAAATACCAAACAATGTTAAAACGTAGTTTTGTTTCATGCTGTCCCATTTCAACTTTACAATGGCTGTGGTTGTCATGTGACTTGCTGATTTGCATACTCAAAATATAAAGTAGTGCACTCTCAGTACACTACATTTTATATTTGTTTATTTAACAGACAGTCTGGAATATATCAGCAAATAACTAATGCCTGTGGTCTGATAAAAAAAACAAAAATATATCAGTGGCAGTCTTGTTCAACTTAATGATGACTTTATCTGTAGGAATAAATTCTGGAATTCCACAATTTTTACTTTATATGCTGAGTTACATACTTAAAACACAGCACTACATGGAAATAAATTACCTTACTAATAATTATAGAACAAACAAAATAAATAGGATAATTAACCATTGTGTGCTTTAAATGAGTTGAACTTTCTCATTTTATAAAAACTTCATTTTAAGTTTGATTCATTCTTCAAGAGTTTCATATGTTTGAATTGCAAGGATTGGTTCTGCAACTAACCTTTGTGGGTTATACATGGTAAATATAACAGTTTGGATTATAATGTCTGCAAATTCAGCCTTTGTGCTTATACATGGTAAGGATGAGAGTATAGGTCATGGAATCTGCAATTTCAAGCTTTTAGGGTTATACATAGTAAAGATGAGAGTATAGATCACTAGAACTGGGTGATTAGTGGAATTTGCTAATCAATTAATTGTCAGGTTCATTAATTGATTACATTCAACTAACATATTATTCTCAAGAGGTGGGTAAAAAAGCAAAAAATTCATTATTCTAATATGAGTTGACTAAAGACCAAAAAAAAAAAGGTATGATGCTACAAATCAGATTTCGATACCAACAGCAGGCAGAGCATGGATAACCCACTGAACAGCTTTGTGCTTAACAACAAGCAAACATAATGGCAATATTTTAATGACTTGGATAGTTGGAATATCCAAAAAATAATAATAAAGAGAAACCGTAATATCATTTAATTGATTATTTTTGTGGACATTAATCAATTTAATCACAATTTTGATTACTGGATAGTTGGAATAACCAAAAGAGAGAGAAATAATCGGAAACACAAATTGATTATTTTCATGACACTGACCAATTTAACAATAATTTTAATTAATCGATTATTTTATGTGATGCTAATTGACACTCACAGGTAACTGTTTATATCAATTAATCATCCCATTCTATAGGTCATAGTGTCGGCCACTTGAGCTTTTGTTGAAAATACTATGACCCTCTACTTAGGTATTTTATGCTTAAATCATAACATCTTATTGATTGTGTGTCGATGGAGCTAACACAAGTTAAAAAATTTTTTCTTCCTAAAAACATGAAATATCAATGAAAAACCATGACACCAAACTTGTTAAAACAGCCAAAAAATTATTAAAAATTTGTATCTTTTTCTTCATTTGAATTAACATCATTTTATGTAGAAGTTAGCAATGGCTTACCATTAACCCATCAGCAAGGTAAGATGGCAGACTTTCTTCATCCATGTAGCCAATCAGTTTTGGCAAGATGGCAGGAGTAAAGGCAGTGGTTTCACTGAAACAACAAAACTTCTAAAGGTTCTTTGTAACTCATGTTCCTCTAAGTGATTTACTACAATAGTGACATAATAAACTTTATATATATATTATTATAAAAATTTGCTATTGCTCATAATCCTCTGATTTGTAACATTAATGACATAACAATTTTTATATACATAACACTATAATATATAACCGTCACACATCAGAACATCTGTTGTACATTTTTAAAGAAAAAACTATTTTGCCTTTGTAGTTTAAATGTTTAACAAAATGGAAAGGAAGACACATTTTGGCTTATTAGTTCAACTGATGACATGAGTTGTGTTGCACTGTTACATGTGAAACTCAAAGTCTACCTAACACTAAATTAACTTAAAAAAATTATCCTGGTGGTAATAGTTGTATGTGTATATACATATGTTATATATAAAAATAAAATCCAAAACTAACTTGCACTAGAAACTTATATTGGTGGTAGACCGATATTTTTAATGCACCAAATCAAATATGTAGTCAACAATGATTTGGACCACAAAGTTAACCAGTTTGTATTCAGAAGGTTTTATTTGTTAATAGTATATTTAAAGACAGAGATCAACACAACATAGACCACAAAGTTATCCAAATGATATTCACCAGATTTAATTATTCGTGAGAATCAAATCCAAGGAACATAGATTAACATGACATACATCAGAATTTTACACAGCTCCTATTAATAGCTTTTTCTTTGTTATAATCACACCTAAAGAAACAGATGAACACCAACATAAGACTCATAAGTTATCCAGCTAGTATTACCAGATTTGCCTTTGTTAAAATTATATATTCAAGAAACATAAAATAACATAGCATAGACCAAAAAGTTACCCAGCTGTTATTAACAGATTTGTCTTTATTACAATCACACTTAAAAAAACAAACTAACAATGACATAAACTCATAAAGACACCCAGCTGGTATTAACATATTTGACTTTGATACAAGGAGATGTGAGCCAGTGGATGAATTTAGATCTATAATAAATAAATCGGTAGTTGTCCCTATACAGCTAATGATAAGGAACTAAAATGAGTTAACTCACCTTGTTTTGAGTTATTATTTAAGCTTGAGAGATTTTATTAAACAAAAACACACTCTTTAATCATAAGTTCCAAATCTGTATAGCCTGTACCTAAAAACTGTGAAGTTCATTGATGATATTTTGTACAGTAGTTTGACTGTGTGCGTGGAAAGCTGATATACAAGAAAATAGTAAAAAATGATAATTCTAAAGGAAATGCCCATGTGTTCATAGATAAGTACATTAAATGGCATTTGCTTCTATCAATGTAGGGTATAGTATTTATGTGAAAATGCATGGTGTATTATTTATGTGAAAATGTAGGGTGTAGTATTTATGTAAAAATTTTGTGAATTGTTTCTAAAAATTAAATTCTGTTTACCTAATTAAGTAAAGAAGGCATAATACACTATGCAATTAAATACAATAACCTATTCAGTAATATTAAGAGAAAATATTTTTACTCAAAAAATCATGAGTGATGATTTCAAGAAGAGGTTCCAGATACCCATTTTTTTAGATTAAGATGTACACTTTTTAAGAAGAAATATTATAGGTTCTAGTAAATAAGCAACTGATCGGGTTACATTTGTTGCTAAATAGAGAGTTGTTACACTATGTGCTTGAAGCCAGTGAAGATTTCCTTTTAGTTTGTTAATACAGAAAAATCATTAAAACAGAGCTTAATTCTTAAAAATCACTCATTAAATTGTTGAAAAATACTACAATAAAGTTCAACTGAGAATTGTTTTTTAAACCTATCTGCACAGGTGAACGCCTAGAAAATGAACCCAAATATCAACTTTCAAAATTTAACTAAAAATAATAATTCTAACTTTTGTTAGAGAACTGATATTTTGTCATTTCATACCAATTATTTCCTACAATTTGCAAAGAAAAATGAAAACAAAAAAATTCAAACTTGCATTTCTGCACAGCTCCAAGGAATTTCACCAGTAAACACATTTTTCTGTCCATCCCAAAACATAGGATTTTATTTGCTGGAAAATTATTATTCCTTGAAAATACAATAAACCAAGACTTGTTTCTCTCATGAAGGATTTTATTTGCTGGAAAATTATTATTCCTTGAAAATACAATAAATCGAGACTTGTTTTTCTCATGACTTTCCTTCTCTGTCTGAAATTTGTTTTTATCATAGGCCTTAGTTGTTACTCTTTTATAACTTCACCACATATATTGTGAAAAACTACTCATAAAGTACAGCGTCAGGAAAAGTTTAAATACCACTGGATACAGCAGATTATAATTTAATTATGTCAATGAAGAGTGAATAAGGTGGTCAGACAAATAATTAAATAGTTTTGTGTGAAAGTAATTACATGTAGCTCCTGCAGAGAAGAATAACATAATTTAATGTGAAGTTTAGAAGACGTAGGAACAACCCACTGATTTGTGAATTTTGTAGCTTCTTTAGACATTCTTTTCATTTCTAAAAATGTGTTGTGTTTGTATTAAATTATATTTATCTGAAAGGTATGGAATTTGTTCTCTATGATAAAACATCAAGTAAACTAATTAGGTTTAGGTGTCAGCAAAATATTTGATGACTCAAATAATTATTTATCAAATGTTATTGTTAAGATTATAGTATTCAAACAATTTAGGTGAGTAAAATAACTCATTATTTATTGAAAATAAATTATATGTGTTAAACATATAGCGATCTTAACCAAGAATATAGCTAACAAAAATACAATATATATATATATATAAAACAAATATATATATATATATATATACATAAAATATAACTTTGTGAACAACAGTAAAATAAGAATAAAATCTTAGACAGAAAGAAGTATTTTTAATCTTTTTTTTTGAAACAGCATCTGTCAACAAACGTTTGGAAATTTCAGGATGTACAAAATGACAACAAAACTAGGTATTTAGGTATATTAATTTTTTAAAGCTAAAAACATACTATTTAGCAAGATTTTTACTAAGATTCATGCAATTTGGTTAACTATTTCTATTGTGAGATCAAAGTAAATCAACATATATCAGTGACACTGGAAAAACTACATACTAACACCATTCTGTTGATGGGTTATTTACTCATATATATATATGATACAGTACCTGCAAAGTTACCTACCTATCTACATTGTAGTCTTGGGTGACATTTTATAAGGTCTCCTCCTTCTTGGCCTTAGTATAGGGACTTTGGTGTTTCAAAGTAGTCATGGGTAATTTCTCCCTAAAATTTTTTTTTTTTTTTTTTTTTTTATTATTATTATTATTATTATTATAATAATACAAAGTGAATTGTGAGGAGGTTAACTAAATGTGACTTATCAGTTTTGTTTCAAAGTGTGTGGCAGTTTCAGTACTGCAAAACAAGCTTTGCTCACTACAGCTAATCAGCAAAAAGTATTTACAAAGAAATTGGATAACCACTGGACATAATCATTCAACTTAAATGCTTCATTTGTGGCAGAAAATATATGCTACATTCATGTATGAATATCTCTAGACTCGCTCTAAAGCAGCCAAACTAGATTTGCAGATGCCTGTGGTTTAAAGTGCCAACAATATGTTGTTTTTAATTATTTTTTAACAATTGCTTCACAGCTATAAATTGTTAAGGGTGCATAATCACATTTCTCTGTTGAAGCAAACGAATGGAATGGCCTCGGCCAAAGAGGCACCCAGCCTTGAATAAAAGACTACTACAGTGTCAAAACTAAATGTCATATAACTGTACATATACATTAACACTTAGGAATTTCCTACAGAAATATTAATTTTTTAATCATCTTCCCCTACCTT